TGGTTCTGGTCGGGTCCAGTCTAATAAGAACCCTGCAGAGAGTTCTGAGGGCTTTGGTTCTGGTCGGGTCCAGTCTAATAAGAATCCTGCCGAGAGTTCTGGGGGCTTTGGTTCTGGTCGGGTCCAGTCTAATAAGAACCCTGCAGAGAGTTCTGCAGCTCTGAGGGCTTTGGTTCTGAGCGGGTCCAGTCTAATAAGAACCCTGCAGAGAGTTCTGCGGCTCTGAGGGCTTTGGTTCTGGTCGGGTCCAGTCATTAATCATCTGTCCACATGTCTCCCTCTCACCAAACGATCAGGCCCGTGTTTTCAGAACCATCTGTCTCGCTGCTCCGCGGCCCGTTTGGGTTTCCTCTCGTCTATTTATCGTCTCCTCTCGGCGCCGCTCACGGCGTGCCGTTTGGGTCTGAACACTCGGGCCATCATTCCTCACACAAGAATTTTTATGATCCAACCCGAGCCAAACGGGACGGAGGGTCCAGGTCCGACACTCGGTGCTGAAGTCCAAATATTGGGACAAGCAGCTGAAGTTGTTCTTCTCACAGGAAAAATATTGGCTTGAAGAGATGAAAGATCTGAGCCCGGGGGTACCGTTAGAACTTTTAAAGTCCGAGTGGGGCCCGGCTCACGGTGCCGGACCTCTTCAAGCAGAATAAACATAAAACTAGTTTAAACAAAGAAAAGTGTTTATTTCTGTTCAATCAACAAAAGATGACAGGAAACTGAAATGTGCCACTTCCTGTTTAGATTAAAGACGAGATTCAAACAGATTTTTACTAAACGTTTAAATGGATTATAATGTTAGTCAGTATCTTACCTGCAGCAGCCCATCTGCTTAGCTAAAACAACTTTTGTCTCTAAAATGTCTCGTGCAGTTTGTCCCAGGAGAGCTGCCGTAGTTTCCTGTAGCCCAGTGGTTCACTCACAAATAAAAATAAAACCAAACATTACCGACGTGTGAAATACTCGAGTATTGAACTGTAATCTTTAAATCTAAAGGTGGAGGACAACTCACCTCAGCTGGGTTGACGTAGAGCTTCAACACATTAACTGTTTGACAGATGTTTAACTATAAACAGATGTTTTTTTAAACACAGTTAACTCAGTTTAGCATCCCTCCATCACAATCCTTGATTTTAACAACTCTCCACTGTTCGAACTTCCACTCTGCTAAAAACAAATGTCACAAATTTAGTCGTTGGTACATTTGTTGTTTGTGCGTCCCTAAAATAGGTTCAGGCTGCAACAAGGTGATGCAACTTTAGTTCCGCCTGTTACATGCTTCGGCCAGTTTGTTGTTTCAGTGTTTGAGAACTGTTGCTGTAAATCTGTTGGAACACTGAAGAACGTCTGTCTTGAATATCAGCCGAAGAACGTCTGTCTTGAATATCAGCCGAAGAACGTCTGTCTTGAACGTCTGTCTTGAACGTCTGTCTTGAACGTCTGTCTTGAGTGTCAGCCGAAGAACATTTGTCTTGATCATCAGCCAAAGAACATCTGTCTTGAACATCAGCCGAAGAACGTCTGTCTTGAGTGTCAGCCGAAGAACGTCTGTCTTGAATGTCAGCCGAAGAACGTCTGTCTTGAATGTCTGTCTTGATCATCAGCCGAAGAACGTCTGTCTTGAACATCAGCCGAAGAACGTCTGTCTTGAACATCAGCCGAAGAACGTCTGTCTCGAACATCAGCCGAAGAACGTCTGTCTTGAACATCAGCCGAAGAACGTCTGTCTTGAACATCAGCCAAAGAATGTCCATCTTGAACATCA